AAACCGGATGGCGATTTTTTTCTCCTAAATGAGACGACATTTGGATTGATGCAAAGTGAAAACAAGAATTTTATTCAGAATAGAAATTGAAGTGAGGTGGCGGTGGAAATGGCTAAATATCCCATCTTTCAAAAGGTAAATGGTGTCACGTCAAGTTCTGTTTGAATTTTTCTTTTGATGCTTCTTGCAGAAAGTGTTTGTTGTCTGGCACATTGAGTGATCTGATGATATGCTTCAAAATTTTATTTAATGCTTGTTTGGTAGGGATTTTTTTGGAAAAGAATTGATTTTTGAAAGTGATATGATGAGAAATGTGTGGTTGAAAAAGAAGAAAAAATTATTGATATGATGGAAAATATTATTTTATTGAAGAATGTGTGGTTGAAAATGAGAATTGATTTACTGTAGAATTTGAGAATCAAAAACAAACATGCCCTTAGTTCTTATCTTTCTTTTGTTGGAAGTTGGTAGAAGGGATGTGTAGATTCTGTAGAGTGGTCTGTTTATAAGCTTCAATTGTGCTTTTTGGTCCTTGCCTTTGTTTTTGGGTAGTTGGTAGAAGGGATGCGTAGTTCCATGGATTAACTGCTGTACATAATGAAAGCTAATGAGTTCTAGTTTGACTAAAATACAGATCTCAATAGTAGTTGAGTTCTTTCAATTTCAGGCTTGAAAGTTTGAAGTAGGCTATTTTTTCCTTTCAGTTTCAAGCTTAACTCTTGGATTATGTTTATAATTAATTTGGTTAATGCCAATTAGTTATTAAGTGAATAGTTAATTACTTAATTTCAATACTGGTATGTGATAATTGAATATCCAATTTAGTTAAATTTTTAATTTGATTTCCAGTTGGTATCATGAATCCACCGACACTTGAATTTCTTAATTGTAATTTGAATGTTTAGTTAATGCCTGCTGGACGATGAAAGTTTCATTGTAATTAGATTTGCATGATTATGAAGTTTAGTCATTACTTAATGAACTTTGTTGGATAAATGAAGTTTGTTGTTAATTTAATTGCTTGTCCATTTAAACATGTGAAGCAACATTTTTTTTTTTTATTATTGCTTGTGCTTTGAAGTTCCAATTAAGCTTGATGGTGAGGCTTTAACGTTTCTTCAAAGTTTTTGACATTTTTGGTTAGGTTTTCTTCTTTCTTTATTTCAAAGTTTTCCTCTTCTGATCTACTTATTTCTTAATTGATTGAGTAGGCTTTGAATAAAGAGTGATGCTACAAGTACATAATGGTCTACATAATGATCTACATAATTGCAAGTGGCATTGATCAACATCTTTAATTCAAATCTGACACTTTCACATCAACGACGCGATTGTTGCCACATCACATTATGTCATCCATTGTGTACATTTATTCTGTACACTTAGCATTTTCCTTGAATAAATATGCTTAATTTCTTTTCGCTTCCTTACCAGGTCACTTGAATGTCCAAGTTTTAGGCCATTTGGTACATTTAATAACATATACTCAAGGACTTTCTTTTCATTTCAGCAGTATACACCACTTATTGTGTTTATAGAGGGCTATGCATGTTATCACAAGAACCCCTGAAGCACTTTATATAGTGCCGCATAATATTTGTGACGTGGCGGAAGTTCAATTCCTTCTTTGAGTTTATCTTTTATACATTCTGTTTTCTGTAATGGACATCCCTACACACTTACTTTTAGGAAATGAAGTACACCTTACAAGAGTGCCATTCTATCATAGGTGGTAACAATCAAATAATAAGAAGTCCACGTAGTGAACCTCAAAGGTTATCTGATTATATTATAGTATACACTAGTTATCAAGAACTTGTTGATAAAGAGTTAAAACACCTATGAGGAGTGAAAAATTTGAAGAATGGCCGAGTATCATGAGAGAAGAGATGAGTTCTCTTGATAAGAATCAAACCTGAGATTTAGTTCCTAGACCTAAGGAAAAATCCATAGTACGATGAAAATGGGTTTATAAGATAAAGAGGGAACCACTGAGAGTAAGTCCATGAGATATAAGGCTATGTTAGCAGCCAACGGGTACATACGGACGGAACAAGTAGATTATAACAAAATCTTTTCACCTATTGTTTGGTATACTACTGTTAGGGTCATGCCTGCGTTTGTTGCTAACTATGACTGAAAAATTGAACAACTTGATGTCAAAATTACTTTTTTGCATGGTGACCTTGATGATTTTTTTTTTCTTTTATTTTTTTAATGAATCAACTTAAAGGTTTTGAAAGTAAAGATAAATTTGATCATGTGTGTTTTTTCAAAGAAATATCTTTATGGGTAAAACAATCTCCATGTCTGTAGAATAAAAAGTATGATTTTTATGTGCTTTTCATTGGTTTTAAGAGTAGTGAATTTGACCATTGCTTGTATTACCAGCACTACATCACTAATAAAGAGTGTGTATTTTCATTTTATATGGATGGCATGTTATTAATTGAACCTAACATGAAAGTGGTAAACAAGATTAAGAATGAGTCGAGAAAAGAATTTGACATGAAAGATCTAGGAGATTATAAGAAAATCCTTGATATGGAGATTAACATGGATATGTCTAATTCTTACTTATTTGTACATCAAACTCATTACGTGCTTAAATTTTTGAAAAAAATTGGCATGATTGATTGCAAACCTTCTATGCCTCTTGGAAACAATTTATTTTGTCAAAAGAACAATATCTGGAAATGATGAATAAAAAGATTTTATGTGTAAATTTCGTTACTCAAATGTCATTGGCTCCATTATGTACCTAATGTTGTGCACTAGGTTCCACTTGGCCTTTACTATTAGTGTTTTACGTAGGTATTAATTCAATCCTGGTCCTAAACATTGAGAAGCATTAGAGTGGTTGTTTAAGTACTTAAATGATACTTTTGATGAGGGGTTAGTTTATAAGTTTGCTATTGAGGGTGTGAAACTCAAAAAATCTACGGATTCTGGCTATAGTGGAGATACTAATAATAGAAAATCGACATATTCTTACGTGTTTACTTCGTGTAACTCTTATGTAAGTTGAAAATCTTGACTCCAACATATTGTTGCTCTGTACACTATTAAGTCTGAGTATATAGTTGCTACTGAAGCTATTAAAGAAGTTTTGTAGTTTAGGGATTTTGCTACTGAAGCTATTAAAGAAGTTTTGTAGTTTAGGGATTTACTTTATGAACTTGGTATCTTAAGTGATAATGTGATTGTATACTTTGATAGTCAATATGTCATCCATTTATGTGAAATCATATGTTTCATGAACGTACTAAAAATATAGATGTTATAAGGCTACATTTTATTAGAGATGTAATATCTCATAATTTGATAAAATTTGAGAAAGTACATTCAGATTATAACCCTGTAGAAGTGGGCACTAAGGTGCTCCCCTGATAAAGTTTAAAAATTATCTAACACTTTTAAACATCGATAAAGGTATGTCACGTTTCAATTTTCTTTATTTAGAGTACTTTAATTTCATTATTCAAATGTTTAGAACTAACTTGGTGTTGGTTATTGCAATTGAAGGTGCCACCATTCTCTTGGAAATTATTGGAAATACCCAAAATTTAGCAATAGCCTTTTCAAAATACTCATTTTTACTATTCAACCATATAA